TGATAGATTAGCCCCTGATAAATGTGCCGCCTCTGTGAGCATCCCGCCCCATTAGTTGAGCTGCGGAGCTGATGAATAGGTTGTGCTCCTCCTCTGGTTGGCGAGAACAAATTGTGCCTGGTAATCAATGAAAATGTAATTGACTGACAGAGAAGCGGAGCCCTAACAGGCACATTATGCCATTCTTTGATGTTTTTTCAAAGCCTGTTTATATCCCTGCCTAATTAATCAGTCTAATGAAGGCTTTAGATGCAGTGGGTGGTGTTGTGTTTTAGAGACAGATACCACCAGGACAGAACTGTACATGCTGAGCCGTCCTCTTTGGAGGGAAACTCACAATCAAAGGACCAAAAGGTGTAACAGCAGCCAGAATCAATTATGTTATTTGCATTGGTAGAGATGACTAAAATTGGAAGAAACCATGAAATTAGAAACTATGAGTAAGGTTTAACATGGCATAGCACTGAATAAAGATGTGGGACCATCTGCTTGGATGAATAATTGGATTCGAAATTGTGAAATGAATTGCAGAGTAATATTAATTTTTTCATGACTTTACATTCAATCTCCAAATTATATGAGCAGTATTTTAGAATGGCAAGGATATCATAAAGGAATATTTTCCTCTCTGGAAAATGATTTGTTTTGAAGAATGTAAATGATCTTGTTGCCAGAGGTCTCAACGTAAATGATTGGCTGTAAATTACGCCTCAGTAATGAGAGGCAGCAGCGAGGGGGGAATGAGCTTTAGAGTATGCTGCACCTGTGCCCCGTTGACATTTATAAACCCAAGCCTCCCCTGCTTGTTTTGCGTAACAAGTCGTTTAAAAGCTCTTATCGCATTTCCTCATTATGCAATTTTCACATTTTCTTTCACATGATAATTACAGAAATTAGATTATGAGACGATCGGCCCCGGGTTGCAGCAAAGTCTTTGATTTTCCTTTTATATGTTGCAACAATCATTACACAAATTGAGAAACTAAGCTAATTTGAGCGGGAATCAGTGTTTCCTTCAGAAAGACCTGATGGCCTGTCATTTCCCACATGTCTCTTTTCAGTTTTCCCAGTCTATGCATGAAATATGTGCAAATAGCTGCAGTCAAGTGTTCGGTGTTGAAGCTTCAGCTGGTGCAAAGGTCTGGGGTTATTCAGATGTCATTCAAACCTCTTTGGACCGTTGTTTTTTTCACCTTTCAGAGCGGTGAGGCAGCACTTTTTCCTCTTCCTGTGCAGTGATTGCAATTCATGTAAACAGTGGCCCTGGTGGCTTTTTTCTGCGTGCCGGGACAAGCCGTGGAGACGTCCTGTCTATGATAACTTTGTCACTTTAGTGGGGGAGCAGGGAAAGGAGGAGCAGGGAAAGGAGGAGCGGGTCTCTCTCTCTCTCTCTCTCTCTCTCTCTCTCTCTCTCTCTCTCTCTCTCTCTCTCTCTCTCTCTCTCTCTCTCTCTCTGCTGGCCTTGTCGCCTCCAGCTCCTGCGTCTGCTTTTGACACGCGCCGCTGTCACTCCGGTCCTCCCCGTGTCCCGATCCTCTGCTGACAGATTCTGGCAGGCCTGCAGCTCACACTGTGCTCACCTGAACACACTGCCCTGCTCTTTCTGTGATCAACGGCCACTAAGTGGATTTACTTACCAGCAGAATATACTTCCTCGAATGAGACTGAAAGAGAGTCCCCTCTAAATAGGAAATAACCAGGGCCGTCACTGGCCAACATGAGGCCCAGTGGCGGCGCTAGGGGGTGGCTACTTGGGCTCAAGCCCCGGATGTTTTCTGAAAAACGTTTTTAAAACGTCTCGGGAGTAATGTGCAGTACCGGAGTCCACCAGAGAGGCATCCGCTGCGGGACATTAGCCTGCGTACTGCGTAGCCTGCCCTGAAGTAGAAGTGATCCTTCCTAGTGCCTGACGAGTTTTAAGCTAATAGCCTATCAGTTATGGATATTAGAAAGTTATTGCCATCGAAGCAGGCGCCACAAGCTGCAGCAGCAGCAGTATCAGCAGCTGACAACAATGTCATCACCAGCAGTGAAGAAATGGATGATGTTTCAAGTTTGTGAATCTAATGGTGATATCTGCACTCTGGCTGACTGAGTAAGAAGTAAAAAAGAGTGATGTAACGTTAATGTTATAGCTAGTAAACATGGAGTAACCACACTAAGTATACCCTTATATGTTAGTATGTATAAAGAACATGACTAAAAATTATCCTAAGATGTAACGTTAACCCTTCATACCTCAGTCTACTTTTAAGACACTAAAATAACGTATTCCATTTTTTATTTTGTTTTCACGCGTGGAATTATACCGGCTCTCGTTTCAGTACACATAACGGAACTGACAGGCAACCCTCTGAATCAGACTCCAATTGGCTGTGACTGCATCCACTCAGAGTGTCCGATTCAGAAACGTGACTCTTACACATTTTTTACGTCACAAACAAAGATGGTGGATGAGAATAGATCTATAAAACGATAGCAATGCGCCAGAATCAAGGTGAGACTATCCGCATCCTTTAAAACTCTACGCACATTCGTTTCACCTTAATAAGTAAACGACTATTTGAGTGAGTTAAGGCATTAGTTTGCTTCATTAAAGGGTGTTAATGAGTGTTCTCCAGTGCCTTTTGTCCACTTTAAGGTGTTATTAAGGCAGGGTTAATGTTGCTCTCAAAGTGCACCAGATTGATGCTTTCAACTTCAATATTTTAAAAAAAATCTCAGTGCTGGGGGCACTGCTAGTGGAGCCTCGCATCGGCGAAACCGTGCTGCATAGGTGCGCCTCATTTTCGGCTCAGTTGAGGCACCCTCCGCAAGATGAGTCCCCCTCCGCAAGGTGAGGCCCCACGCAGTCTGGATGATCGGCCTGTAGGGAGGGACGGCCCTGGAAATAACACACTCTTTCTTTTAGCAAGTTCAAATCATAAGCAATACAACTCACTCATGCTCAGTTTAATACACTCAGAGTTTTTGACCTTGCTACCTTACTCAGTCTGGTATGACCAGTAGCGTATGTTAGCTTGGGTTTTCCATTTTTCAGTCAGTTTTCATTATGTAACTCTATAACCGTCCTCTGCTTGTGCTTCCATTTTTCTTTTTTCAGTACTTATGAATTAAGTAAAAATAGCTTAAAGAAAACATTTCAAGCTATTTAAAGTTATGGATAAATGGTTAAAATTTAGATAAATTGTTTTGAAAAAAATATGTAATCCAGTTTAAAATATATATATGTTCTTCAGGTTTTTCCCTCCACAAAGATAAATATATATCACTTGTTATGGCTCTCATTTCCCCTCACCCAACTGGGAAAGCTTTAAACAGATTTGGCACTAGACAGACAGATGGATCAACCACACGGATCAGTGTGACAAGAACACCAGAGCCCAAAGAATTAAATCAACCCTCAGAGTAATTAAATTCAAACTGTTGGTCAACCTTTTCCATTTGCTGATCCCATTGTTATCAGAGACATCATCTCGGCTCCTGTGTGCAACAGGTCCACATGTGGGGAATATATCTCTCACTCTGTAATGATGTTGCATTTCCTGCGCTATACAATAGGAGTGAGAGGATGACGTTACGTGACAAAAGGTTGGCGCTTAACCTAAAATGTGCCAGAAGGAGGCTCAAATCCATCCTGAAATTCATGAGCTCTGCAGTGTGAATGAATACAGAATAAGTCAGAGTCAGTCTGAGTCATACTGATATGAAATTGGCTGCTGGAGAGCGCTCGCTGTTATTCTCCACACAGCCATTTCAGTCCCTGACAATACAATATTGAAATGAATATACTTTATTTAGATCATTTGAATAGAAACAAATATATGTCATGGTGACACATAGAATAATATTTAGAATGGGTTTATAATTTCTTAAAGGGATAGTTAGGTTTAAGAATTATAGAGTTTGTACAGATGAACACAGGCAGGAGTTTTACACTGGTTAATGACTCATTGAGATAGGTAATACAAAACAAAAAGGTGCTGCAGAACAGGCAGTATGAGAAAAATAAAGACCCTTTGAACATTAATACCTGGAAACATGAAGCGGACGAGGCAGAAAATACTAATATGAACCTGGAAATTAGCATTATATGTCCACTTCAAGCAGCAACCCTTCTGAACCTCCCAGCCATGAAAGTCCATAAAGAAAAGTAAATACAAATACATATCAATGAATAAAAAGGTAGAAGAGGAAGAAGGGGGGAGTGGGTGGAGTAGAAAGAAGCAATAACTCGAAAAAGTAAACCAATAACAACAATACCAGTATTTGCGTATTAACATTCCTCTTCCTCATTTCCATATATTTGTAATCTGTCTGTGGTATGGTTCATTGGTTCTTCTCAGTTTTATGGGAAATAAGCTACTAAAATGCTTCTTGTTCAAACTTTGACATTACATGTTCTGTGCCATTAAGCTGCTTCATTAACTCTGTGGAAAAGTTATGTTCTTTTTGGGGGGAGACTGTGTCACTGTTCAGAAGACTCAATGAAGCACACACAAACCCATACTGCCGATTTATTGTATTCTGCTACCGGGCTCTTGTAATCCTAAAATTCAAAAGGACTGCAGGACAAAGAGAGATTTCATAAACCAAATAAGGACTAATATTTGCACGTATTCTGCTCTGTCAAGTTTATTTGATTTGGAAAAATGGAGAGGACTAATTATGTGAGAATGTATTCATTAGCTGGGGTCACTCCACAGAGACCTATCGTCAATGAATAATTCAGGCTGTCTCTCACATACACTGCATCGATGCTCGGACAGTCCCGCCGCATGGCTGTGCATTCTCATCTTCAATTGCATTCTTCCGCTGTGAGATGAAGAGTCTTTGAATGTATAAGAAGTAAAGAATACAAATCATTTATATGTGTCTTCTCTGGGTTTGACTATCTTTCCCAGCCTGCAGCCTTCTTTTCTCAGACCCCTGTCCTCTGCACTGTAGATTTAATTAGTTCTGCCCTAGTAACCCTGCTCCTTTCTCCTTCTCCCCCTCAGGATATGGACATGCAGCCCCCAGCACAGATGGAGGGAAGGTGTTCTGCATGCTCTACGCCCTCCTGGGCATCCCTCTCACCTTGGTGATGTTCCAGAGCGTAGGTGAACGGATCAACACCTTCGTCAGGTTCCTGCTGCACCGCCTGAAGAAGTGCATCGGCATGAGGCACACCGAGGTGTCCATGGTCAACATGGTGACCATCGGCTCCATATCCTGCACATGCACTCTGTGTGTGGGGGCCCTGGCCTTCTCGCACTTTGAAGGATGGAGCTTCTTTCATGCTTACTACTACTGCTTCATCACGCTGACCACCATAGGCTTCGGGGACTACGTGGCGCTGCAGAACGAGCATGCGCTGCAGACCAAGCCGGAGTACGTAGCCTTCAGCTTCATCTACATCCTGACGGGCCTGGCTGTGATCGGAGCCTTCCTCAACTTAGCCGTGCTGCGCTTCATGACCATGAACGCAGAGGACGAGAAGAGGGATGCCGAGCAGAGGGCTCTCCTCGCTCATAACGGTCAGGCAGGCGGACACATACACTGCTCTGTAGACCAGGCCTCCGACTCCTCCACGCCCTTGGGCTGTGGAGGGAGCGGGGTTGGAGGAAGTGGTGGAGGGGCGGCGGGCCGGGGTCTACGTAATGTTTACGCTGAAGTGCTCCACTTCCAATCCATGTGCTCCTGCCTTTGGTACAAAAGCAGAGAGAAGCTTCAATACTCCATGCCCATGATCATACCGCGTGACCTCTCCACCTCGGACACCTACATGGAGCATGGCGAGGCGTTCTCCAACCCGCTGCACTCTAACGGCTGTGTGTGCAGCCTGCAGCGCCACTCAGGCATCAGCTCAGTTTCCACTGGTCTGCACAGCATCAACACTTACAGAAGACTCAATAAACGCAGAAGCTCCATCTAACCTCGTGGACTTTATGTTTTTCTGAGGTTAAGTCCTTGAGGAGGAAACTGCTAACATTAGCTGAGGACATCCGAGGAATACTCCAGTCCTCCAGGGACGCAGAACTCCCGATGTTTGCTTCTTTCTGGCACTGAGAAGCCTCCAGACTCCATGTTTTTGACTTCCATTAGCTAAGCACAAACCATCGAGCACTAACATTATTGTTGATGGCACGGAGAAATAATGCTAATAGTTGTTTAAGAAGCATTCTCAACACACAAACTCTGAAACTGTTGCTGAGTGAAGACAGGGGGAAACACGTGTGCAGCTCTCTTCACTCGTGAATTCTTATATTAAAATAATATTGAATTAATTATTTTCTTTGTTCAGGCGACAGAATTTACTTTTCTAGTATGAAAAGGGACAAAGTACACTGTGAGACACCTTTTTAAGAGGGATTGTATGTATAATTCCCCGCTATGAAGAAATATTTGAAATCCACTTTTTCCAAGAAAGGAATCTTTGGTTGTAGGTATTATAATAACTGCAGTGAAATGAAAATATGTATATATTTGGGCACTTCACTTGTAGGTATTATGGAGGAAAAGCTTATTTTTTCAGTGAAAGATTTCCAAAATGTTCTCAGTGTCTTCTCCTGTGTGTCTGTTACTGAAGTTCAGGTTCAAGCCAAGCTTTTCTGTCTGTTTCATGTTTTTCCCTTCCATATCGACAGCATTTAAACGACGATAGAGAATGATCGAGCAGGTTCAGCTTTAAATGTTTTGTTAATAGACGGGACACATGTAGCTCTGTCTCTGACTACTAAAGGCCTCCCTGCCGACTCTTTCAGACCTCACCACTATGAATCTATCGTTCATAGTTCTTCCTGTACATCAAACTATTTGATGTACCTGTTGCTCATCATACAGTATGTTTTCATATAGCACAACTATATTCTGATAGTTTGACCGTGTAAGCTCACATTGTGCATAGTATATATAGAGTGATATCTTGTTCACTGCTGCACCTTAGAATACTTTAGGGCATTCTGTGCACTATTTTATTTTTTTATTTAATCCAATCACTTCATGTTTTGTTATGTAAATGACACGCTCTAATTAATTGTTTCATTTGTTATCAGTCCGAGAGGTTTGACTCGATACTCTGCGTTGTTAATGGTTGAGAATAATAGCAGTACACCTCACTTATGAAGATCTGAGTTTGCACCTCATGCCCTTTGGGGGGTCTTCGCTCCACATAAACAAACTCCATTAACTGAGGTCTTTGTGCAGTGTTCATTTGTGTTCTTGTTTTATTTATTTTTTCTTACATAATCATTGTTTTATACTTAAAAATATCTAAATCTTTTAGACATATAACCTTCATTTCAGTCACATTTTCACCTTTATCTTTTCTACTGGAAAATTCTTATTAACGTTGTTTAGCCTCTCAAATGAACTGAAAGAGGGACTGGAGCTTTGTGTGGCTATACATACTATGTTTTTTTTCTTCTATCATAATAAAGTATGATTTAATTTAAAACAAAAGTTTATTTCATTTCAGTGTCCAATGGTCTGCTAATGTTGCTGTTATTATTGGTAAAATATTCATAGTCCTTTACATCACGAATCTAAAAACTAGTTCAGCCAAAGAGAAATAAGGGATCTGTTGCAGTGCATTCAACACTAATGCACAGGTTCTGTGGTTTAGTATTACTTACTATCACTATGACGTTCAATGCAGGTGAAATGAACAACTGTAGCCATTTGGACCATCAGGGAATGAATATTAGACGAATAGAGATCATTTCTTCAACAATTAAAGAGCAAACATGAATTCAACTGAAAGCTGGAGCCCGTTTCACAGACCAAAGAAAGATGGTCTTCATTTCAATGCCCAAATGCTAAATTGCTGAACTGCTTTATAGAAAGGTATTTTTTATCACTTGCATCAATTGCATCGTAATTTTTTTATTCTCATATTTTATATACACATTTCTGCTCCTGCTTATTTTCAAACCATTTTGTAAAACACAACAAATAGTTTTTTTTAATTTACATGACATGCATTATAAATTAAGCTTGTCTGGGGAGGAATCCGTCTTGTTAAGTAAAGTAAAACCCTACCTCCATGTGGCCTGGGCTGTTGCCGCAAATCTCTGCTGACTGTGTCACCACCGCTTTCATCATATCAGAATCAGAATACCTTTATTAGCCCCACGGAGGGGAAATGTGCGTAGTTACAGCAGGAAAAAGAGCCACAGACAGCTTAATGTTACATATGTTAAATATGTGACATGCATTAAAAAAAAAAAGTACTAAGTTATGATATAATTAAAAAAATTATAAAAAATAAAAAGTTACATCATTTAAAAAAAATACACATCCTGTAACAGTTCTTAGGATTTAGCAGCCAGGTATATATTACAGTTATTAACGGCACCTATATATATTGCACATCTATCACATATTGCACATAGGTGGTTGGTATTTAACAAGTTACACAATTTACAAAATACACACCTTGTAACAGTTCTTAGGATTTAGCAGCCAGATATATATTACACAGTTATTAACGGCATCTATATATATTGCACATATTGCACATTGTTTGTTGATATTTAGCAGCAAGGGGTGATATAGTCTTTGTTGTGGTGTGTGTGTGTGTGGGGGGGGGTCAACTAGGGGCTGTGCTGGTTGTATAGTCTGACCGCTGCAGGAAGGAAAGACCTGCGGTGAGACAGCGGGGGTGCAGCAGCCTATCGCTGAAGGAGCTTTACAGTGAGGACAGGGTGTCCTGAAGGGGGTGGGACACATAGTCCAGCAGGGAGGACAGCTTGGCTGCCATTCTCCTGTCTCCCACCACCTCCACAGTGTCCAGAGGACTCCCTAGGACAGAGCTGGCCTTCCTTACCAGTCTGTTCAGTCTCTTCCTGTCAGCAGCCGAGATGCTGCTGCCCCAGCCGGCCACACCATAGAAAATGGCTGATGCCACAACAGAGTCTTAAAAATGTCTGAAGGAGTGCCCCCTGCACCCCGAAAGACCTCAGTCTCAGCAGAAAGAGTCTGCTCGCTGAGTTTTCCACGGTTACATAACCAAATTAAGGACAAAGTGACTTTAGGTTTACTAATCTCTCTTATGATATTTATCATATATCTGTCACTTTTCAAAGTAGGACATTACTTTTCATCCTTCACCCTGCAAGGCGTGACTGTAGAGACAGATCTCCTCCGCTCTTCTTCATCTTAACATCTCCTGTCGAAATCAGTGTGTACAAAAAAAAAGGGTGGCACAGGAGCCTCTCTGTCGCCCGGGTCCCACACCTCCAAACGGCCTCGGTCCTTCAGACAGCCGAGGAGCAGGGAGCCTCCGGGGCCCGATGAAACCCGGCCATCCTCATTAATACACTGAATAAATGGGCAGTCTTTTAAGGAGTAAGAAAGTAAACAGGCAAAGTTGTAGTTTGTGTGTAATTCAATGTGAGTTACTCCTTCTCACATTTTCTGGACACATTACAGGGAACATTCTGTCCTCTGCATCTACAGCCATGATAATAAGCCTGTTTTGGTCAGTTTATTTGATCTCTAATGCATTTGGTCCTTTGGTTTTGAACTATTTATTCATATATTGCAATGCCATCCAAATGTTGTTCTCTGTCATAGTTAAAAGCCACTGATGAGCACTCCTTCAGAGCTGTGTGTATCTGAGCAAAGTACAGAAAGTACATGGATTGAGGACACAAATGACATCTGACAGGCCACAGTTCTTCATGCTTGGACGGTCAAGCATTACAAAATGAGCAGAGGGAAAAATCTGAAGTGATGCTGCACTTCAAACGTGCAAAAACTCCAGAGAAGGTTAATGACAAATCTTTAGACGTGTATGCCTGTCATGTACATTTTTTTCATCACTTCAGATAAAGATTCTCAGAGGTAACATTTGAGTGGAAAGATAATATGCAAGGCCTCATGTTTTCCATGCGTAATTACACAGCAACAGTATATGGAGCACTCTCAGCCGCAGTATGGTTGCTAATCACACTTCAAAAGTGTATCCACGACCAAGAAACTAGCTGGAAAAGATCATCTTGACCTTGTAAAGATACTCAGAAATCAGCAGGCTGTCAAATCAAGGCATTGATTTTAAGAGAAGAAGCCATACAACTGTTAAAAGGGGGGATAGACAGAAACATACATACCTTGTATACAGGCTATTTTTCAATACATGGGAGGTTTCTGCACCTTAAAATGTGTAAAGCCATTTCCCTCAAGCTTTTCCTCTCACTTTTTTGACTCCTGAGATTGGCACCTTGTGGAATATGCCGTCATTATTCCAAGGAATAATCTCTGGATGAGTCCTTTTCAGAGACAGCAATCAATCAATCAATCAATCAATGTTAGTTTATATAGCCCAATATCACAAATGTTACATTTATCAAAATGGAAGGTCTTAAGCGTACTCTTAAAAACGGATAGGCTGTCTACCGCCCAAACACAAACTGGAAGCTGGTTCCACACAAGTGGAGCTTGATAAGAAAAGGCTCTCGCGCCCATTGTACTTTAAGAGACTCTATGAACAACCAACAACCCTGCATTCTTGGAACGCAATGCCCTAGTAGGACAGTAGGGTATAATGAGTTATTTAAGGTAAGATGACACCTGCCCATTAAGGGCTTTGTAGGCGAGAAGAATCATTTTAAATTCTATCCTGTGTTCTATAGGGAGCCAGTGTAAGGCAGCCAGAACAGGAGTAATGTGGTCCCTTTTCCGAACTCTGGTTAGTACACTACATTTTATTTAGATGATTGGATTCATCAGGCTTGATGGATAAATATAGTTGAGTATCATCCGCATAACAATGGAAATTTACAGAATGATTCCTTATGATATTGCCTAACGGAAGCATAATAATGCAAACAAAATAGGTCCAAGCACTGAGCCCTGTGGTACTCCATGGCTCACTTTGGTTTGCATGGAAGATTCATCGTTGACAAACACAAACTGATACCGTTCAGACAGATAGGACCTAAAGCAGTTTCCTTTATGCCAACTAAGTGCTCTTTGCAATAGTATATCATGGTCGATAGTATCAAATGCAGCACTGAGATCGAGCAAGACAAGAATAGAGACAAGTACTTTTCAGCAGAGCATATTCCCAGGAAGAAATGAAATTGGAGTGGAAAACGAGGGTTTTTTAGTGAGTGATGGGTTTCTAATTGTTCCATAGCCTCCACCTATGAATGTCCAGTATTCAGTTTATCTCACACCCAAGTCCCATTGCATTGCATTAAGCAAACACGTCTTTCTACAGAAAGCTGAAAAAAAAAGCCAAGATAGACATGAATGGCCTGCCCTGCTCTCTGCTGTTATTATTTAGAGAGGAAATGCCTTTTTATGTGCTGAAAACCTTCTCTCCTGATCAAGCAAGATGGTGAGTGCAGTTACTAACTGCCAAATGCATGCTTTCTCATAGTGCTTTCTTGAGATTGACAGCAAACAAAAAAACACTTAAAGTAAATGTCACACACTAATTGCTGCCACTCATGAAAGAAAGAAATCCACAAGCTGTCCCCTGTCAAGAAACGTCAATCCCAATCTGTAAAAGGGGAGTTCATCTCTCCCCCTGTCCTTCTGTCTTTTTATCATTTCACTTCAGAGGTAAGGTGTTTTACTTCTTTTTTTTTTTTTTTTAAATGAATGCCCTTTCTTTTATTTACAACATAAACATTATAAAAATGTTTCAGATGTTGCTTGAATCAGTTGTAAAGTAGAAAAAGTGGCACACTATGAAAGCAGCCAATGCCTTTAGAGCGGCAACGTACAGTATTGAAATATCGTTGTGAACATGTTTCGACCACAGGCCCTGCTCCAAGCAGGAAGAAGGTCCTTATATTTACATTTTATATTTATATTTATTTATCTAGCTTGAAGATACATCCTGTGACCTTCGAAAAAGCAGCTTAAAGAAAATACCATAGGTCATAGATCTTATGATCTCCATGACAACCGAGAGTTTCCATTGTGAAGAAAGGCGATGGACTTGAGAAGCACAAACAGAAATTAAGCCTTGTTGTTAAGTTATACAATAATTGAGTTTGAGTTGATTTTGATGCTACTTTCATGTCTGTCTGTTCAATATACAGTGGGTGTTTCTCAATCTCGAGTACGCTTGCTTAGTAGCACATGTCTTCCGAGCGTCTTTCTTCAGAAGCGAGGCAACAATACTTCCTGGCATTAAAAAAAAAAGAAAGTGGTACAGGCTAGCAAGTGTGCATGTGTGCGTCATATGAGAGGCCCCGCCTTACATTTTCCGCCACAGATTTGGGGAAATTGGTCGGTGCGCAAAGCATTGTGGGGATTTTAAGACCGCGGAGTCTACACATGTGCAGCCTCGAAAATTTCTCCAAACTAAGTACGCCAGGCTCTGTAGAATTCCAAGTATGCTGGACATTGGAACAGTACTTCGGCGGCACTCGATGACGTAGTATGCTT